TCTATGAATGTGGAGGGCCGACTGTATTATGCTTTCCTGCATCTACAGATGAGCTAAATCGCAGGATAAGCTGTGCTGAAGGAAGATTATGGGCCTCTACAGACTGTGCTTTGCACCGTCTTGGAGGCAGGGAAGGGGAGAGGCAGCCACACACCGGCCGCCCCAACCCCTCCCCAAGGATGTTCTGATGGCGCATGCCGTTACACATGGTGCACGCCATCAGAACGTCCTCCTGGTGCAGCATCTTGACACACTGCACCGGAAGGGACGCAGAAGAGCCGTGCGGCGGCTCTTGGAGCAGCCTATTTGCCTAGTTTGGTGCTCCTTTCCAAGGCGGCAAATGGAAGAATTGGGGCTGAAGCGTCCGGCAGCCTCGGCCTCTATCCTCTGTTTCCCAGGGCCACCCAGGGCCACCCGTCTGCATCCCCCCATGTCTGATTGTATCATGTGAGATGGCTTTAAAACATACAGACTTATTTGCACCCTATTCCCCATGGGCTCTGTGTGCAATTGTTTGTATGCTGTACTTGTGCAATGTCAGCACAGAAAAAGCCAGGAGGGAGGGGAGGGGACTAGTGCAGCAGAAAGTGAGTGCATGCACTTTAACTCATCATATTGTTTGGAGCAAGACAGTGAGTAGAGTGCTAACATCATGACTCATGAGCCATCTTGCTGTATAAACACTGGAAGCAGAAGAGCACAGGACCTAGAAATAAGCTGCAGGCTACAGCATCAGCAACATGACATCTGTTAAAATAGTATTACTCTCATAAGAAAAATATACATAGAATCATAGAATCATAGAGTTGAAAGAGACCACAAGGGCCATCCAGTCCAACCCCCTGCCATGCAGGAACTCCCAATCAAAGCATCCCTGACAGATGGCCATCCAGCCTCTGCTTAAAGACCTCCAGGGAAGGAGACTCCACTACTCTCCATGTATGGATCATATACAGCACATACATATCATACATAGTGATAGGTTTAAGGACGCAATCTATGGGACATGTAAGTGGAGTGCAACACCTCCCAATGGGCACAGTCTCAAACAACCTTACAAAAGTTTTTTGGCTCAAATGAGGTAACATGTTTTGCTTGGACACATATCCTCTACCAATATTGATGCTGCTTTATATTTGGTGAGTATATATATACATGTCAGGAGTGAGCACACTTCAAAGCCTGAAGGGCTATGCTGCTGGATTTGGGCTTCCCCAGAGCTCCAAGGGGCCACAAATGTGCCATTATGGCCACCATTTTGGCAACCAAACGTGATGGCACATCAGTTCTGGTCTACTTGGTCAGGTGGCTGTTTCAGGGTAGGAAGTGCCTCAAAACAGCATGCCATAGTGCCACAAATGGGGTTTTCACCTTTAAAATGGGTTGGGTTTGGGCTGAATGTTTTTCAGCCAAAATAAAAAATTGGGCAATTGCAAGACTTTTGGAGAGGGTCAGTGGTGGTCTTAGTGGCCACACTGGACCTCTCAAAGGCTATATGCGGCCTGTAGGCCACACAATTATCATGTTTGATATACACTTTTAAAAAATTTTACTGGGATTATTATGCCATCCACACATTCTCATTCTATGGATCTTTATGCACTCAGGATAGAAACTGTCATCTGGCAGCAGCCATTCTATCATGTTGCAGCCATCAAATGATAGAAAGTGGGGTCACTATCAGGGCTTCTGAGAAAGCCTGTTCCCTAAGACTACTCCAGTCAGACGTTAAGAAAACTTTAAAAACTGATGCCTGAAATTGCTTAGTCTTCCAGCCTAATCCCCTTTTCCTTTCCTTTCCTTTCATGTAATGTTTTTTTAATGTGAGCATTTAGTTAAGACCTGCACTGTTTGTTACTGAGATTATATAAGCCACCCTGGAAGACTTTTTGGCTGAAGAATGGGGTAAAAATACTTTAAACCTCTCAATAAATAAATGAAAGCTCACTACATTTATTGTCTATGCAACCATTCCCAAATGTTTGCTTATCCCATACCGTTAATCACTAGACTATACTAAAGTATACTTTCATCACCAATCTTTTGAGTTCCAAAACATGTTATGGACATGAAAAGAATGTTGAATATAAACATAAGCTAGAATTCACTTATCACAATCATAGATGTGTAACCTAGAGTTATACATCTGTAACTGATTAGTATTCATAGTTTCTCCCCTCCTGCTTGCCATCCACAAAGGAATGAGACCGTGGACTCCAAGTCCACGAACAGGGAAGAACAAGTGTATACCACAATAATAGCTTAACAATATAATGCTCCATTTATAAAATACTGTAAGAGTTTTGTTTGTGGTACCAAATTACAAGAAGGAACAGTAGTATCTGATAGATGTATATACTCACTAATTATTACACCTCCAATTCAGGTAGCAACGTGATTGGTCCTAAACCATTTTGAAGGCTGATTGATGTGATTCAGATACAGATCTTAAATTGAAATTCAGAAATCCAAATCTTCATGTCCCCCATTATCTATCACCATGAACAAAGATAGAAGATATTTTTTTCTGTCTGACAGAATTGGATGAAACTTGACAGTACAGTAGAAATTTTTATGAAATTCATGGTGTCATAAAATGTCAGCAGGCAAATTAACGGCACACACACAGACATTCATATAACCTTAATGAACCAAACCAAGACACATTTTATAAATCAGGAACAATGAATTAAGGAAGCTATGGTGCTGCATCTGCAAGACCTTTTATGACAGGGTGACTTGAAGTTCTTTCATTCATAGAATCACTGTAAGTCCAAGTCGAGGTGATGGCAGTTAACAATAACAATGAACTAGGATACTGAGTGGTTATTTGAACCCTGGTCTTTAGGGTCCTAGTCCAACACCCAAACCACTACATCACACTGGCTCTGTTTACAAGGCTAAAATCTTAATACTGGCTAACTCCCTTCTGCATTCTTGATGTACTCTCAGCCAGCCTCCCCTTGAAAGACACAAAGAGAAGTTCAACCATGTGCCTATCTCCCAATAGCCTAGGAGATTCATGGGGTCAGACTTGAAAGTGCAAACACACACACACACACCCCTTGCCATGGTTCAATCCTATGGAATTCTGGGATATTCAAGTTTAGAGAGGGATGATGATGATGATGACGATGACAATTTTATTTACTTATATCCTTACTCAAGACTGTGAACAGCAAGTTTAAAACAATACAATTTAAAAACAGTACAAAAGCATTAAAATTTAGAACTCTTCGCCAGAAAGCAGTAGTGCCTTACCAAACTATAAACCCCAGGATCCCAGCAGGGTGTTCTCATGGCGGTTAAAGTGGAATCCAAGTGCTATATTGTAATGTGAAAGGACTATACATGGTGATTAGAAGCTAGAGCTTTTATTTAGAAAACAAAAAACAAAACAGAGTGTTCAGATTCAGATTCAGTCCACTACTGTCTGACTTTTGTCCATCCACCTCTGCATTTTCTCTACCAGTAAATCTGCAGACAAAGATCTTACCCATCCTTGGCTACCTGACTCAATTAGCTGTGGATGGATGTCAGGGATCGAACCTGAGATTTCTACATGCAGGGCATGTGCTCTACCACTGAGTTACAGTCCCTACAGTTTCAGCGGTTTTCAAAAGCTTTTGAAATCATACCCTGAGTTTCCCAAATAAAAGTCAGATATAACAACCAAAATCTCATTCAGATCTGAAACACTTTGTCAGTAGTTTGCATGCTTTAAGTGCGATTAGTATAGGAATGCATGATGTCTCCAGTCAGGTGTTCATTCCATTTCAAAAATGATGTCTCAGTTCCTAAGTATTCCATTGTTCATTTTCATGCAATGGCTAAATATTGTGGAAGTATGTGCACAGCTGCAAACCCTATTGCCACATTTCTGTAGTTATGACCATCTGACTTAGAGGGTTGTAAGGGAATCCTGATAACCTCATTTCTCTCTCTTCCGCTGGTAGGACTGGAGGGGGAACACAGAAACACAACATTCCAGTACTTGTGGTAGAGAACAAACAATTTATATTGTTGAGAACAAAAGTCTGAATGCATTTGTTTCCATTATTCTTTAACATAGAACTTTAGTTCTTTACACAGATACACACACAAACACCAAACACACCAGCTGTTATTTGCACCATGAGAAGAAAAAGGTTTTAGATAACACTTTTTTAATCAGAGTGGCATAACTACATTGAATTAACGAAGAAAACTTTGAGAAATTTCATTATCGCAAAGTAATAATTATCACCCGGAAGTTATTACAGTATATTGATGAAATTTTGTCAGTGCCATCACCACTAAGTGATTTTTTCTTGTTCCCAGAAGTGAAAAATCTGTTGCAGGGTCACCGAATTGACAACACAAATGACATCATTCATGAAGTGGAAGAGTGGTTTTGTAAACAATTGCTTTATCCTACTCAATCTGCATATTTCTACAATAATGGTATTCGAAGGGTCAAGAACACTGGGAAAATGTGTAAATCTGGATGTTGACTATGTAGAGAAAAGTTAACAACTACAAATCAAAACAAACTTCCT